GTAGATGTACTTTTTATGTAATTTCAGTTGCTTGATACTTTCCCTACACGAGTAACACGAGCTATTCATGACAGCAAATTCTGTGCCAGACCTGTACTTTCCAGTCACAACTAGGCTCCAAAGTTTATTTTTGACCGCATGAGATCTGGGTGCAAACGTAGCACGAGCTTTGAAAGTGTTAATTTGAAGTGAGCAATGGTGAATTATTATAATATTCTATTCCTTGATTTCCGCTCCAAAGGCTGAAACGAATTCACATCTGATTATTTCTATGTCGAGCTAAGATACCTTTGGAGAGTATTACAAGTCGATTGATTATTACTATGTCGAGCTAAGATACCTTTGGAGAGTATTACAAGTCGATTGATTATTACTATGTCGAGCTAAGATACCTTTGGAGAGTATTACAAGTCGATTGATTATTACTATGTCGAGCTAAGATACCTTTGGAGAGTATTACAAGTCGATTGATTATTTCTATGTCGAGCTAAGATACCTTTGGAGAGTATTACAAGTCGATTGATTATTACTATGTCGAGCTAAGATACCTTTGGAGAGTATTACAAGTCGATACTAATAATATTACTTTGTGCTGATGTTGACTAGAAGTGGATGTGGAAGACGGCCTGGTGACTGTGAAAGTCACAACATTTAAGCTTGTGTTTCTCGGAAATTGTTAGTCGCCTCAACAAGGAGGAGGGACCTTTCAATCGTTTTTTCTTAGTAGCGACTAAACGCTTTCTTTCCGAACCTTTTTTAAAACGAATTTTAAAGAAATTTTCAAAGTCAAGCAGCACGCGACATGCATCACATAAATGTGTACTCTCTCTTTAAAAATTCAAACTTCTATTGATTTCTTCTAAAAGATTTAGGCTTCTGCATTTCTTTTAAAAATCTAAACATCCACATCATGATTGACTGAGAGAAATCCAGTTTACATTTAACACAGTGCAGAATAAATAAAGGTAATACAGAGCAAAAGATATTTGATTTCATTGTATGCACAAACTTGGAAAATTCGTCCACTATACACCAAAGTAATTACTGGATTAGCTTCACATTTCTAAACAAAGTTCTACTCCTAAGTTAGGAAGTTTGAGAGGAAAACTCAGTGTAAATTCTGCAAAATATTTGACTGCCGAGCGTGTAGTCCATTTAAGACAGTATCTGGCATTTTATTTACAGAACCATTATCATGCAAATCTATCTACCGAACCGTCCTTTAATCGACAAATAGAGAAGAATGGACTTTGCTCTGTTCTGTTTTTAACAGAAAAATTTTTTTTTATACAACGGTTGAAATCTGTCAAATTTTCCGCCCTACGGCTACTTTTTTCCGCCGTTTCACAGCTCGCAGTTAACCCAGTGAAGACCTTTTAACATGCATCGTCTGTGTTATAAAACTTCTGCTGAGAGACTGATTAATCAGTATTACAAAATAATCTTTCTCAACTAAAACTTACATTGTAACATGTGAAGTAACCAACATGGAGAGCTCTTCCCCAAGCATTTAGTTTTAACACCCCTGTTCGAGGCGAAACTCACAATCGACTGTAAAATTAACATTCAACTTTTCATGAGGAATCTCTGTCAGATAATGAAATTGAGATGGTAGGAACTATTGATTAAGAGTTGAATTTGTATTGGCAGCGTAACTACTTGATGTTTCTGATACCGTCGCCGCTGGGGATTGGTACTTTAGGTCGCAATCTTGAAAAGATCCATTGTCATTTGAAGAGGCAGATGTATTTTTAATTAAAATGTAGGTTTGCTTTGAAAAGGTTTGATGTATGATGAAGTGGCAATTATATTTATCCTAGAATCTCGAACCTGACTTACAATTTCCTCTTTGATTACTCATTTCCGTGGCAATTCACATTGAGCAAAGTAACCAAATAGAGACAGTCAAAAAGGGGAAATATGTCATCCCATGATAAATTCTATGTTTTTGTGGTAAACATAAAAAAATGAGAAGGCAATAAGTATTGTAAAGTTGTGCGACGAAGTTTTAAGGACACCCAGAGCGAGAGCCGTCTTGTTAATCCCGAGATCTTCCTAAACTTGTAATTACCATGTTTCTTCTTTTGTTTTGGGATAATTCGCAATGATTTCTAAAATTCTATTCTACTCACTGAGACTAAAAAACTAGAAAGAAGCGATTAAATATTTCAATTTGTTTATGCATTCTGTCTCTGTCACTCTCTGAACTATCAGAATTTCCTCAATCCATTTCTTGTTTTATTTTTCTTTGGAGTCGGAAAAGAAGATATATCTCAAGGCTATCGATTATTTTGGAAAATTCTTGGTTTCCTGACAATGGTAGCAATGATGTGAATACTGCACTCCCAACTTTTATTTTTCCGTCACCACACCCCTCCCCCCCTCCATAATAGAAACCTTGATCATAGACAAAAGGCACGTGCCTGACTTCAAGCGGAAACCAAGTTATCGGTTTTTTGCAATGTCAATAGCATCCTCTCCCCCAAAGGTATGCTTTTGAAACTCAGCCACCCTCCAGCGATGGAGTGTTAGCGCAGTGGCTGAGGTGTGACTGGGTACAAGCCTGAGTGCCAATCCCTGAATGCAGGTTGTCAACCAAGATGAATAAGACAAGCCCCTTCCAGCTTCAAAGAAAAATGCCATTTTTGTCTAGAGGTCCAATAACCTACTTCCCTCCCCCACCCCGAAAGCTTTCCACACAGAGCCAGGTTAGTGGCTGGGTTGCACTCCGCTAGCCTTGATGTTAAGCCCTCTGCATTTTCATCCGCAAAGCTGAGTTGAAGGTGGGTGATGAAGTTTCGCACAGACAATGATCTGTTTTATCCCGCCGTTGGTATTGCGTTCGTTTTACAATAATCTATTCTGCAATAAAGTAGGAGATACTTGTAATCTTGTACTGTTAGTTTTTGCCATATATTAGCTTCCACATCTCAATTTTTTCTAACGACAGCGATCATACGCTTCTACATTAGGCAATTTAAGTCAAAACTGGAGCAATGAAATGCTTCTTCGCAGTGGAAGTAAAAGATTACATATCCGGTTCTTTGTTGTGTTCGATGCACATGGTCCTTGTGTGCATAAATATTCGCTTCTTTCACATTGCCAGGGTGGCGCCCTGAACAGAGACTTCCGCAAGGCACGAACTGAGAAACGTCGAGCAAATAGTATGGGATATAGCGGTACGAAACCACTTTGAAAAATTGATCTCTTAAAAACGACAACTCTCTATACTACTTTCCATTTTATGGAAGCAAAAGATAGATGTAAAAGATAGAAATAATTTTTTGGATATAAAAGATTGAAATACTCTCATTGCATCATTTTATAATATCAAAGCGTTGGAATATTGTGGGAGACTAACGATATGATCTCACTGCATGATTCCACTGGCTTTGATGTACTCTATTCTTTTTCTTCTACTCACTATTAACTCCGATCTCACAATCAATCAACCCAAATCACCTGTCATATTTCTGTACTTCCGTCACGAACCTATCAACAAATTCAATGTAACGCTTCGGTCACGAGCGCCACTTGTGAGAATAAAATCTCCCAAGAAGGACAGATTTTCCTTTGAGTAACTACGAAATAAAGAGAAGCGTACTTTTGATTCACTGATCCACTTTATTTTTAGTCGTAGATACGCGAAGCGTAGAAACGATTATTCTTAGGAGTCAGAATATGCAAATTTGTCACTCACTCAGACGTAAACAGGTCGATATGTCAACGGCAGACCAATTGATATCGACTTTCCGAAATAATACCGGGACGCGTCTGTCGACTTTCCGAAGTAAATGCCGCGACAGTGAATTAGAATTCGTCTTTTCTTCGAGAAAGTTTCGACGTATACTCGTCGCAGTAAGCATGTGGTAGTAAGCTGTGTAGACGCTGAACGCGAGGAGTCTTTGATCCCTCGAGACGTTTGCTCGTCGATCCTCCAAGCTCACAGGGGGTTTATAAATAATGAACCTTTTACGAGTGAATCATACGAGCGAAACTTTGATCGAACTCACGAGGGAACCTATGAGCACTCGAACATAAGGTTAAACAGAGACATTAGAAACATGAGCAGCATAACTGATCAGTCCATAATATCCAACCAAAACACTCTTGTGGCCAAGCCGAACGAAACGCAGTCAGAAGACTGATCTGATGGTCACAGAAATCATACAGGATCGAAGAAGTAGGTCAAAGTCCAATCGTATCAGCAAAGGCGTCCGTCGTGATAGTGAACCATCAAGATTACCGTGAAAGAAAATTCTGAACTTACTGAACTAGAGTGAAGCAATTAAGAGGTATGCAAGGTCTCATATTGTGCAAAGTTTACCACATTCGTCAGCGTTGAAAACGATTTTATCGTTTGATTACCATAACTATCTTAAAACCAGAATGTTTAGAGGTAAACCAGTTGGAATCACTCATGCATAAGGGTTAAGGTTGTATTTTGCTATTAGTCTTGTTTATATTTTCAAAACAAGAACTGCAAAGCATAAAACGACGTGAAGTATCAGTTATTTTTCATAATGAATTTGTACTTGTTGTTCAATGTTATTCAATAAAGTATTTTGTTTCAAAGGCAAAGTTACTTACTTCAGGAGATATCGAGTTAAACCCGGGACCTGTTACTCAAGGAAATAAACGTAAAAGCCGCATCCGTAGATAAGCTGCACCCCCGATTTGGAAGCACAGAATTTGGAAAAAAATAAAACCAATACAGTTTGAAGTTTCGGTAGAGTTGTATTGCAACAAACAATCAAGGTTTCGAAACACCGATAGAGAAGTTATGGCTATCTTTCACATTTATCAAGTCTAAAGAAAGCGAAGTTTCATTTGTCCTACCTTCTTTTTCATTGGAATTTACACCATCTCTAACTTAAAATGCACTTTCGATCCGATTTTTCAAGATTATCACTTCGAAACACGCCATAAAGTTGAAATTCCCTCGGCATTGAAAAACAATAAACAAATAAGTGTAATTTTACAATCTCGATTAGCTCAACATGGCTAGAGAATATCAGATGTTCGTGGTGCAAGTGATTGTTTCTTAAGAGTTGTGTTCCATCAGTTGTATGGTAAACCTAACTATCACATGAATGTTCGTAGCACTGGTGTTCAATATATCACAAACAATCCAGAAAGATTCATCAAAAGTAGTACAGACCATTCGTGGCCAAGGTATTTAGCCAACATGTCACACCAGGGTACATGGGCTAATACACATGTTATACAAGAATGGAGCAAGTTATTCATTCACAACCTGAAGCACGTTCATACAAATTTTATGTCAGAAGTCTGCTGTAGTATATGATTTAACGGCAAAAAGTGAAGTTTAAGGAATGGTGTAGGTTAAACAATAGCCAAAATGTGAATTCTAATTGTTCATCCAACATCACCCCAGCAGTTCAAGGTGCTCGATTCCGAGTAGTTTCAACTCTATCCGAGGGTTACCCGCTGGCTGCCTATGTTTACTTGTAAAAGTGTGTGTTTTTGTAAAGAGGAATTTACTTACCTTCAAAACTCATTCAAATGTAATGTACCCACGATTTATTCACAGTTTTCCTTTGATTTCACATTTGATCATTTCTTGTGAACACATAAAATGATGCCTTTCTAGTACCCCCCTAGAGTCATCAAAATATCTTCACAAAAGACAGATCCTGATTGGGTTATAGATCCTATTACAACAGAGGAACTTTGGAGACAAAATTATGCTTAATAGGGTAGGTGGGGGGAGGGGAAGCATCTCTCACACAAGTTCACCACATGGTATGGGCAGTTACAGGCAGTTCAGGTGTCAATGGGAGCAGAGCAAGTTCCTTGTATAGCTGCACAACAACCAAGTTTGTTCAAATGGAATATCAGGTTACAGCTGCAGGACAACTAAGCTTAATTAAATGGAATAACAGGTCAGATAAATTTTTCCTACACTCTACCAACTGAATTTGAATGATTAACCCTGATCAGGTAAATGCAGTCTGTGTGGGAAGGTTCTTAACCCTTTAACTCCCAAACCAAATTCTTAATTCTCCTTACTGTCAATCATACAACTGCTATAATGTTGGTTCAGAGAATTGAGTGTTGGATCAACTAATTATCCCCAAATTGATATTTTTCTTTTTTTTCATCACTTATTTGCTTGATATTGTATTGATACTGTAAGTAGAAATTGTCTTGGTCACTCATGGAAATGAAAGGTTTAAGAGGGGAATAGGGGTGAATGGGAAAAAAAACACTATTTTCTACAGTGCCTTTTTATAGTCTGTTTGTGACTGAAAAAACTCCTAACCGTTCACCTGAAAACCCCTCTCTTGATGATAAAATGATAACTGGTTGCATATCATTTAAGTGTTTGTGTCTGGCCCCAACTTAACCCTTTAACACCCAAGATCTCATAACTGATTCTCTTTACTGTCTGCCATACAGTTCTTGTTATGTTAGTTTGGAGAATTTGGTATTAGATCAAGTTATAATCCCTTAATTGATATTTTTCTTCACTCTCATCACTTGTCTACTTGATATTGTAAGGAGAAATTCTGTCTTGGTCACTCATGGGATTTAAAGGGTTAGACACTTGATGTTATTGAAAATTGTCATCTATCAGAAAATCTCTAAACAAAATGTAAAAGGAGGAGTAACATAATGGTCACTTTTGATGGTAAAAGTGACAAATCTCCCAAGAAAAACAGATTTTCCTTTGAGTGACTACATTACAAAGAGAAAGGTGATTTGGATTCATTAACACACTTTTATTTTCCTTTCATTTTAATAGCTAAAGCCAAAATTCACATTTCAAAATCCCAATACTGAAATTAAAGCATGATCATTGCTTTATTTTGCATGCAGCTTTTTCCTTGAGTAGAGTGGTTCAGTGTCTTTATTGAATGAAGATGTAACCAAATTTCTTGATATTTTTGTCTCTGTTGTCTGCACTCCACAAAGATCTGTATCCACAAAGATCTGTATCCACACACATTTTCGTATCCTGATTCTCCTTCACCAGATCCGATTCTGGAATCTGGGGAATTGCAATCATCTTGTTCATTGCCAATGACACTTATTTGTACCCTGCTGAAACCATTACCTGCTACATGTGAATTGAACCCTTCATGATTACATCATCACTGCAGAAAGGCATCAGGACAATCAGCCAATTCCATGCTTCCCAATCTAGTGAGGTAGCATGGTATTAACCATCAGCAATGAGAGGATACAGTGGGGCTGCTTCCTGACCCAATTGCAAGAACCTGGTTACCCCATCAACCTTCATGCCATGGCATATCTTGGTGAAGGAAGTGCTTCAGTAGGTTGGAAACAGGGTCTCCAAGTGATCCAATCTGGTGACTCCATTTTTGAGAGACTGAAGACCTGAAGGTAACTGAAGGTTTCCTGCAAGATAAGGAAATTTTCAACTTAGTATCCATTGCATTGGTATTACTTCACTTTGTTCTATGAGTGGTCCAGCAAACTTGCACTAATCTCTCACCTGGTCAGATGCGATACTTAACCCAATCATGATTTAACCCTTAAACCACTAAGAGCTGACTAGCATCTAATTTCTCCCTACATTATCAACCCTTGTTCATATGATTTGGTCAGAGAATGAGTATTTCAACCCCAAAATGGTGTACAAAAGAATTTCATCCTCATCAAAGTTTACTGTTTCCATCTCTCTTAAAGGTGAAATGATTGACAAGTTGACTCTGACATACAATTGAACTCGCCAAGCTGTGATTACAAGAGAATTGATTGAGATCATCTCAGGAGCTGCTGCATTGAATTAGATTGAGAATTTTTATGAAAATGATGTCTAAAGTAATGTTTGTAACTGTTGAAATAAAGAAGCCCTTGGAGGTTTGTTTCCATCCTTGACAAAGTTTGTTCTTGAATTGTACTCATGATAATGTGTATTGAGTCATCTCAACTAAGGACAACTAAGTCTATTCAAATGGAATATCAGGTTACAGTTGCATGACAACCAAGCTTATACAAATGACATATCAGGTTACAGCTGCAGGACAATTAAGCTTATTCAAATGGAATATCAGGCTACAAGCATTTTCCCTACACTCTACCACTTGAGTTTGAATGATTAATCCCTATCAGGTAAATGTGACTTGTGTGGTGAGGTTCTAAAGAAAGGAATGAGGGTGAATGGGAAAAATACAAAAGAAAAAAGACAATTTTTTACAGTGCCTCTATAGTCTGTTTGTGAATGACAGATCCCCTCACCGTTCACCCGAAAACCATGTGATCCCCAAAAGAATCATCTCAGTTCCCGCCTCTCTTAGCAATAAAATTATAACTGGTCACTTATTGTCATGGTCTGCCAATTATTTCCTGTAATTTGAGTCTTTGTGTCTGGCCCTCACTTAAAAACTTGATGTAATTCAAACTTGTCAACTACCAGACAGTCTGTGGATAAAATGTTAACCCGTTAACTCCCAAGATCTAATTGTTAATTCTCCAATCTAGCTGCCACACATTTCTTTGTTAGTTAGTTATGAGGATTTGATGCTAGATCAAGATAACAACTTCTATCAGATAAGTTTGAGTATTCTCATTACCTGATTGTGGGACAATTTATGGATATTATAGGGAGAAGTTACATGTTAATCACTTCTCAGAGTTAAAGGGTTAAAGGAGAAGTAACTTAGTGGCCACTTGTGAGAGTAAAAGTGATAAACCTCCCAAGAATGGCAGATTTTCCTTTGTGTAACTACAATGCAAAGAGAAACCTGTCTTAATTCACTGACCCACTTTTACTTTCCCTTCATTTAACAGCAAAAGCAAAAACCCATATTTAACCCTATAACTCCCACAAGTGATTAACAAGTAACTTCTCCCTATAATATCCTGTCATTATCCAATAAAAAGTTAATGAGAATACCCAAACTTATCAGGTAGAAGTTGTTATCTTGATCTACCATCAAATCCTTATAACTAGCTTACAAAAAAATGTGTAGCAGCTAGAGGGGAGAATTGACAATTGGATCCTGGGAGTTAAAGGTTTAAAATTCCACCTGAAATTAGAGCATGATCATTACTCCATGTTGCATGCAGCTTTTTCCTGGAGCAGAGCAGTTCAGTGTCTTAAATAAAGGAAAATGTATCCAAATACCTTGATATTTTTGTCTCCATTGTCTACCCTCTACAAAGCTCTTTTTCCTCATGCATTTTCATATCCTGATCCTCCTCTGCCATATCCGATTCTGGAATAAGAGGAACTGCAAAGGATGTGCTCCAGTAGGTTGGTAACACAGTCTCCAAGTGATCCAATCCTGTGACTCCATTTTTGGGAGGAACTGAAGATCTGGAAGACCATGCTTTTGAATCGTAACTGAAGGTGTCCTGCAAGATAAGGAAATTTTCAACTTAGTATCCAGTGCATTGGTATCACTTCACTTTGCTGTATGATTGGTCCAACAAACTCACATCAATCTCTCACCCAGTCAGATGCTATACTTAACCCAATCATGACTTAACCCTTCAACCACTGAGAGCTGACCAGCATCTGATTTCTCCCTACATTATTAACCCTGAATCAAACAGGAAGGTTATGAGAATAAAGGAAACGATCACCAACTTAAGAAGCTCTTGATCGCTGAACAAATTATTCTTGTATAAATAGAATATTATGGACAATGTACATTGTGATGTTAGGGTGCAGAAGGTTAATCACTCAAGTCTTCCTGCTCTTTGAAAAGTAGGCTTTGTTTGTGTCTTGATTTAGAGTTATTATTTAGTCATTGCAATTGTTTTTTTGTGATTACTTTAAATACTCAATCAAAATGTGCCCTACATTTAAGAGTTACTCTTGTATCAAAGTCACAAAAGGCTGAGCCATGAGCTTAAGAAATCTCAGAGGACATCCCTGTTTATAAAAAGTGCCATATAAAGTGCCACAATATCTTTACTGTATTAAAACAGCATTTTGACCGACTGCATTGTATCCAGGATGGCTTAATGTGATCTCCTCTAAAACAAAACAAAAACTGACTAAAAAAAGGCATGTAAAAGAGACAGGAGTGGGCAAAATTATGGGGAAGACAAATTTAGTATCAAGAACTGAAAAAAACTATGCCCCCATTAAGACCAGTCATAATTTATTGCCTTAAGTTTGTTTTGAAAATTGAGAGTAATGTATTATTTAACAGATTCTTTATTATAAAACAAATAGAGAAGCCTTGACAGTGTTCTGTTCTGTTGTAAAGCACTTAAGAAGTGGCTTGAGAACTCTACCACTTCCTTCATGCTCTAGCAGCTTCCAACATGCTTTACAACAGAAATAGAGCACAGTCATGGCTTCTC